CAAACAGAGTACACACAAAACACAGGCTCTATCGGTGAGCAGGGTTTGTCATTGTTGATTTTCCATTCAATTTCAGCTTTTCGACTTCTACATCCGAAGCACTTTCATTACACCGTTTGGTTGTGAGTGGATTTGCGCTGCGTTCCAATGATTAATCAAAACGTTTTTGGCTGGCACTAAAATCCAATATTCACTGGTAAACAAGACGTCGAGTAGAAATCCCTGAATGGACAGTTAATGAAGCGAAGCAGTTTACTCCATCAGTGGGAGTGAAGTCTCTCAAGTGCACGAGGTTGGCACCAGCAATGCCCGATGGGCGTTAGTTACAACACTAAGGCCAAAATGGCCTTGAGTGCATCGGCGATGTTAAAACAAGACTCGGATTTCAACAAACTTCGCTTAACAGCCACGTCCTCTGAGAACAGGTGGAGTCTGCTTTGGTGTTGTGCTTGACAAGCCTGGTGGAAATACTTTTCACGCGCAGACCGCCACACGTTTGCCTCCAGAATGGTTTAATCCTCGATAAATAATTGCCTGCGTAAAATTTCCTTCTTAGAGCTCAGGTGGCGATTGCTCGTCATCACCCACCTTCACTTGGTGACAGAGATTTTTTTATCTTTTGTCGAGTGATTAAAACAGGAAATTAAGATGATTATTCTCCCTATCATAGTCATTAATGTTCTCTTGGTTTTCGTTTCTCGACTCTACTATATTGATTGGTTTTGGGGTGTTTAATTTCATGTCAATTGCCTCACATGAAGAACAGACTAAGCGCCTGCTCTGTTGACTAAAAATCGCAACCTTATGAGGAATCTAGCACACTTTACAGATTTTACCATGCTTTGGATGGTTTCAGCATATTCAGGTGTAGTTTTAAACAACATATTACCCTTGATAGATACAAGACATTCTGCTTAATTGTTGCCACGGGTAATCAAAGTGGTAACATTAACAAATGCATAAACGTATAGTTCGTTTCAGCCGGAAAAGGGCATTTGTTTTGCACTAGATACTCGGCTCGCTGCTCTGCACTTGTCCATTAAAACACACTTTAAATTCCCACCACACCTGACACACGGTAAAGCAGTCATTGGTGCACACATACAATGTGATTGTAAGGTCTCATTGTTGGGTATTAGTGCCTCCAGGACTTTAGATGTCAAGCTTTATACAATTTTATCTTTTCTACTATTGGCTGCGTCCTGTGCACACCAATTTTCGTATTCATATCATCCGCCCTCTGCCTATAGGCCATTTCATTTTTGAGTGTACGAATGTAAAGCTTTCTGCATGTGAACGCGCACCCGGCATCTGGCTGGGACGCCAAAACGCCGAACGAGGTGTCGCGTCCTGCATTGGCGATGGGGCAGAGCTGACGCGCCCGAGGTCAGTCTGAGTGTGCAAGTGTGCGGGTGACGATGGCGTGC